TTTAAAAACCTTTTTCAGCAATAATAATTAATATAAATATATAAAATTATTATTAAAAATATTTTTTTTTTTTTTTTTTACAAATAATTTAAAGAATGCGGTGCCCACTTGTATTCATCTCTTTTCACTCAACAGTTGGTGTAGCTACATGTACAGCAGCTAGTTTTATTGTGGTTTTAATAGTAGCCTTGCATTTCTAGAAATTTAAATTTCTGCCATTAATTAATTTTAAAAAGTATAAAGCCATGTATCATTTAGAATAAAACAGAAATAGACTTTATTGTCATACAGAGGGGAAATTCTGGTGTTACTACAGCCTCAAGACATATTCATATTACATTTTCAAAGTAACAGTACGTTGTCACTTGACTGCACAGAATCTGAACAAAATACATTCGTTTGTCACAAAATGTTAAAAAAAAGTGGAATCTATAAGAATTTGAGCTTCTCAGTTCACTCATTGTAATCAGTGTTTGTAGTATTTCTATTATAAAAATAATGAAATATTTGGAAGAATACTATGTTTAAGTTCCATTCATCCTAATTATGTACACCAGAAATATGTTTACCCTGTTGGATGATTTTGCTGTCGACTTCCCCGCTGATGTACCAAAAATCACTTTAACCTTTGATCGATATGCCACACATAATTATATGCTAAAAATATGCATTTAAAAAAATATCATGTTTTATAAATACAATAAATCTGTGGCTGTAATGTGAGAAAAGTGATTCTATAACTGTAATCATCGTTACTGTCGCATATTCAGCAAAAGGATCCCAGCGCCAGGCTTCCTGACATCCTGCAGGCCTAGTGAGAAATCATTTTCACAGAGCAGTGTACTTTGTACAATGAAACCACATCAGAGTCATAAATTTTTTATCTGTAAGGTCCAATTTATTCTAAATTTATTCTGCACTTGGATGGAACCTGTGAATGTGCGACGACGACAGAGGGAGGCGTGTGATAGCAGCTGATCCGGACAGAATCCGTTCCTGAATTAGTATTTTTCGGTTCCGAAATGGGTCAGTCATGTTGCCTCTGTCGGTATTAGTGCCATCTACAGACTTTGCAGTCTGTTTACATTCCTTGTCAAGCTCTGCTTTGCCAGAGAAACCAAAAATAAGCAGCATATCTGCGCCGGAATGCACTTGTGCCGGGTCACCTTTGCTGTTGTAACAGCACTCTCTGGTTAATTTCAATATATATATATATATATATATATATATATATATATATATAAAATAAAAAAACAACAAAATTAGTGTTTTTCTTTTCCCTCCCCTGCTCTGTCTGAACATCATAATTCCCTGCGTAATGTTCTGTCTTGCAAAATTTGATGACCCAGCCTTTGTTTTCCATCTGCTGAGTCAGGAAAACAAATCAAAGTCACTTCTTTCTATTGCAAGGGATCTAAATCCTGTTTCCCTATTACCATGCAAATGAACTTGTCTTCTGCCTCATGCTCAAACCTGTGTTTTGTTTTTTCTTTGTTTTGTTTTTTTCTGTGGGGGGCCAGATCCAGCGCGCACTGCTCAGGAACAACCAGACTCAGCGCTTCTCTCAGAAGCAGGCGCTCAGGCTGCACCAGGGTCTCGTCACCAGCACCGCTGAACAGGTCTGCGTCTAAAAATATGTGGCCTGTGTGAAATATTTGGGTTGGACATTGAAATTAACTTAGGTACTTTAGGTGATGGAGCGTCTTTGCGTGAGGGTGCAGCAGCAGCTTTGTGTCCTGAAGTCCTGCGAGGACGGAGACGAGGTCCAGACTGCCAGACAAATCCTCAAAGAGGCCAGAAACTCAAGAGCTGTGAGTGAGCTGTGTGTGTGTGAGAAAAGCTCATACTTTGGCTAACTGGGCATACTGTTGCAAATGAGAGTTACAGGAATTATTTCCACTGGATTTTGTGTTTTTTTACTCACTTCAGTGCTCGACTGTCAAAGTCATAGACGTTGAAGTCTGCGCTTGCAATCTGACAAAATCAAGAATGTTTATTCAAGTCATTGTATCTGGTGAAGTTTTAAGTGCTACAGTAAATGAAAAGGAGCCTGGCAGTGGGCAAACAGCAAAGTATTCCTTTAGTTTAAATAAAAGGTTTACATTTTCCCAAAGACGGACAAAGTGAACACATAAAATAACAAAGGTCAGTCCTGAGTTTTTATTTTTTATTTTTAAATGGGGGATTTTGTACAAAATCAACAATTTTTTAGCTTTGTATAATGCTATGAAGTTATTTAATCATAAAAAAAACATACCCCAAGCGTTGCTTTGACTCATTCATGCATGTTTGAGAAATCCTTGAATCTCCCATGGCAACCACCGTGGGTGTGCCTCAACGCCTGCTCAGACAGTGCGCTGCTCATTTGCCCAAAACTCCGTCTTAGAGCTTTAGTCTCCAGCTGAACTCCCCCAGAATAGCGGCAGCAGCAATTAGCAAACACCTGGGGGGAACTGGGGATCTGCTGAGCTCCTGAGAACGTTTGGAAACGGCACCAATGGACGGCTTGGAAAAGCGTTGTTGTGATGACTTGCCCGGAAGGAAGTTCTTAAAGAGACAGGGGCCAATTTCATCACATACAACTATGATACAGAGTCAATTTTTTTTTAAAAAAGTAGTGCTTGATATGTACAGCAATTTTTTATTTTTTTCACATCTGAAGGTAAAATATTTGCTTGATTGTGCTATAAAGTGACACCATATGCCTGAAAAACACACAATAAATGAATCATGAATGAAAACTTTCGAAGAGGTTTCGGCATGTAGCCTGTCTGCATACTGCTTCTACAAGCTGAAATCCTGTGCGTTGGCTTCTACAGATGTAAAACATTTCCTCATACAACGTTGGACATGAAAAATCCAAACTTTTAAAGTTTTCTTAAGAGCTTTTGTTTCAAGAATGTTCTCTCTGTTTCGCTCTGGACGTACTAACCCCACTGGTCTGATACACTCATACATCAACGCAGGATTTGGGATGGATCGTTCCGATATAAAGCAAGGTATGATCAATGGCATTGATGGTGCTTAATTAGTCATGGCCAATTATGTTATTGAGTCTGTAATGAAAAGTCCATACAGGGTAATTTTGAAGAATTTGCCTCAGCGAGCTTCGGATCTCCCCTGTAATGAATCGCCAATAGCTTGATATTCAGGTAATTAAGCTAAATAAGCTGTCAGGTCAGCAGTTGCGGTGTAAGGACAGAATTTATAAAAGCTCAAACAGCAGGAAGGTAATGCTGGGATGTTTCTTTCTGATTAGATGTAAATGAAATCAGCAGCAGCTACCGACAAATAGCTATTATTAAAGTTTTCTTGCATTCTTAAACGGTGCTTGAACTACGCTTGGTAGAAGATGAAAGCAAATGAGTCGACTCTAGTTTAACCGGTTAAGTGTTTATGCCCCAAATATCCATGCACCGAACCACTGCCCCAGACTGGGGTGGAACAGGATGTGGAGTGGAGCATGAAAAATAAAAAAAAAAGAAAATAACTGTACGTACAGCTGCCAGTGATTGTTAGTAAACCAGACCTGCGAATTACAGATTGGTCCGTTATGACACAACAAGATGATGGAGAATTCACGTGTTTCCTGCTCAGGCTAACAACCAGGACGTTTACTGTACCAACATTTCAAACTGGAGAAATGGTTTCAAATCAACAGGTTAAAAAAAAAATACTATGAAAAATCAAATAACAGTACAGGAGTATTTTTATGTAGCGTTTCTGTATCGCGAACCAGCTTAAAGCGTTGATTCCGATGTACAGACCAACAGGCTCTTTCTGGAGCTTCAGACCCTGGAAAACAAACACAGAAGCGTCCTTTTGTTTCAGCTTAAAGCAAGTAAGAAAACAAACAAACAAACAAATTGTCAGTGGACTAATTATTCAGCCTTCCTGCACTGCTGCCATTAGTGTGTGGTGTCAGCATTTTTTGGTGTGTTCAGGAGCGACCCTGTTCATTTTCTTGAGTAATTTATTTTTTCATCTTATTTTCTTGGATCACTTACAGGTGATTGGGTCGGCTGCCCCATGTTCCAGCTAATTTCTGGTTAGCTTTGTCAGCTACAGACCAGTTCTTTAAAAAATGAAAGAAGAACAATAATGATACAAAAAAATGATTTAAATAGCACAATTTTTACTAGTGAAATATCCAGGATGGAATTATTAAAGCCAACAACTAGAGATGAAAAGCTTCCATCGCTTGTAAATTTACACTCCCCCGTCATAGACGCAAATTTACACACACAGGCCCAGATGAAAGTTTCATGATGCGTTACTTTGATCTGTTTTTTGTTTTTTTTAAGTTTTATTGCCTCTAGTGGCCTTTATTTGATAGTTAGTTGACAGGATAGTGGGTAATGAGAGAAGGGGAAGACATTTGGCAAAGGTCGCCAGGCAGGGATTCAAACCTGCGACGGCCATGTCAAAGACTGAGGCCTCCATATGTGGACGTGCTTAACCTCTGCGCCACCACAGCACATCCTACTTTGATCTGTTTCAACACCAGTTTTAGGTGTTTTTGAGATCATTGCCCCTTTAGAAAATCCTAAGTATTTCCAAACTGCTACCCACAGAAAAAAGAAATTAGGTCAAAATGAGATTAGATTTAGTCTAGACTCTAAGGCACTCAGTGTTTCAGCTGTTTTTCAGTTTTCTAGAAGTTTGTTCCAGATTTGTGGTGCATAGCAGGTGAATGCTGCTTCTCCACATTTGGTTCTGGTTCAGAACCAGAACCAGAAGACCTGAGAGGTCTGGAAGGTTAATGCAACAACTGTAGATCTTTAATCGTTAGCTCACAGACTTAATGAATTTAATTTAATGAGCGCTGGCTGTTTGTGTCTCCGTCAGCTGTACCCGTCCCTGTGTGAGCTGGCCCACGTCCTGTCGGTGGACGGACCGGTCAAGCAGCGGCTGGACACGCTGGCCGGAGAGCTGGCCAAGGCCGCAGACAAAGAGCTGCAGGTAAATCACTGCTTTATTTCCGTTTACGCGACTGTTATTTAAATAGGAGCGAACTGGTTGCATTTAGATTGCCTATTAATGCTGCGTGCTGACTTCAAAAGAAGTGTTGCATTTTAAATCCACAGGGGGAAAAAAAAGACAAACTTGCTAATGTTTCCTATGAAAATCATTTACAAAGGGAGACGGAAATGCGGATGTCTCGAGAATCTAAAAGACTTTGCAAAGTTTAATTACTTTGCTTGTTGGGCTTTTTCAGCCGTTTGCGTCCAACAGATGAAGTGAACATCTGTGCGAACAGACCATATGATTCATTAGCTTAATAACACATTGAACAGCTGCGTTGCACAGGCAGCCATGAATACATTTCGGCGAACCAACAGTAACTTTTCCAACAATCTTTGGGTCTCGTCTTGTTCAGGTGGTGGTCGACTCCATGGTGTCTCTCTGCCGAGAGCTGTGTCCCATGTCCTGCTCGGCCGCCGAGAGGCTCAGCCCGCCTCTCTCCTCCATCTCCGAGCAAGTCTCCATCCCTCGCTCAGCCATCCGCAGCGCTCTGATGGAGAGAGCGGCCGAAGACATCAACCAGGCTCTGGAGTGAGAACAGCAGCAGATTCAAAGCTTCCAATCACGCAGGACTCTGGGGAACATCCTGATTGAACTGTCGTTTCTTCGCGTGCAGGGAGGTGAAGCTGTCCGTGGTCTCCTATCTGACAAACTCTATTGTGGATCAGATCCTGCAGGAGCTCTACACCACCCATAAAACCCTGGTACTGGTAATATCCCTTTAATGCATGACTTCTTTTTAGATAGTAGAAAACGCGTGTTTGTTGTAGTTTGTAGTTTTCTGTTTTATTTTTTAAAGAACTAAACATAGTGCTTAAATGGTAACCACCACAATATTTTTACTGTTCTGGAGGAAAAATAACTGTCCACGTTTGTAAAAAGTAAAGACTTTGGTAATTTCCTGATTTGTGGTATTGTGAGGTATCTTGATTTGTTAACACCAAGAAGGTTTCATTCAAGTTCCTGTCAACAAATCCAAGGAGAATTAAGACCGTTTGTGTTTTTAAAAACGTGAAGTCCATCGTGGTGTGGTGAGAAATGTTATTTACAAGCGGAAAAACCTTAAAATCTTACATAAGGGAGAGTTGTGCAGACTTTAATAAACTAATATTATGTTATTGTTTTGCACAAATATGAGGGTTGATAAAGTTAAAACATCCAAATTTTTCAATATAATTTCTAGAAATTTGGTTTTTCTACAAGCTATCAAGTTACGATCTCTGCGTTTTTTTCCCCCAGCACTATATTGACAAGAAGGTAAACATTTTATTTTATCAAGTCCATTCGATGCTGTTGACTTGAATTTTTCCAGAGTTGTTCGGCGATCTCTTTCCCTGGCCGGTTTTGTCTGTGAAATAACGAATTACTGTATATTGGCTCCTCTTAATTGAACTGCAGGAACATAATGAGTGAAATGAGCTCAGCTGTTGCCATTAGCATTTCATGCTAACGTATTTCATCTTGAAAACTGCGCAGATGTTTCAGTTTTATTAAACCTTAATGTATTTTATATAAAAACTCTGCCTTACACTAAGGAGCTTGAGTTAGACTGTAAATAACACCTTATTATATCACCACATTCTGCATGCTAGGTGCTATGCTAACATTGCATTATGTTGAGTTGCTAGCTCTTGGTTAATTGTTATCTAACTGTGTCATGTTACAGATGTTGAGTTAGTTCTTCTTTTTCTTTTTTACCAGAAAAAAAGTTTTCCCTCTAACTGTAGACTATCTCTACTTTCAAGAATAATTTACTCTGTAGCTCAATTCTTCCAGATGCTAATACATTTTCCGCGGCCACCATACATGGTGATTCACACAAACTGCTCTGAATTCTCCAAGACTCTTGACGTTTAGCCTCAAAGTTCAATTTCATCAGCCTCTTCAAAGCATAATTAAAACTCCTTTCACCTAATGTCAAGTCGTTACTGTATTAATAAGCTTAGTTAAACAAAATAATGAAATAATCCAGGAGATTTTGATGGATCAATTTTGCTAAACATCTTAAAAGCATAAATGATTGATGGAGATGGTTATAATTTTATATAATTAATTACCTTCATTGGCCTTTTTTTTTTGTAAACACCTTTATGCAAGCTAAAGAAAATATTGAAAAGCGACTTCTCTCATCTCAGTGATGCAGATTGTGCCGCATAAAGTCAAAGCTCAACGGGATGAAAATGATGGAAATGTAAAGTGAATCAAAACCAGCAGCAGAAATCTTATTTTGAAGAAATTGAAACCTGTAATATCTGGAGTTATGTCAAAGTGGCTGTGATTTTAGTGTTTACCACCATCACTAGAAATGTTTACTTCCTTGTAGGGGAAATATTTATGCTCTCGAGCAACACAGAAACCTGGTTTGGAGGTAGTTAACTTTATGATCTGATGCTGCAGGGTCCAATCTTTACATAATGTAATCTTTGAAATGAACACGGCTTGAAAGCAGACCAGGAGAGGCTTCTAACAGCATCGCCGCCTGGCCAGCTCTGCTTTGCATTCTGTTCACTATCTCCACTGTTATGTCTCATTCTCCTCGCTGTGTTTTGCTGCAGTGCCAGCCTGTCCTCTATCTTCCCTCGCTCTGCTTTGATGATCAAGAAACTGAGTGTAATTCATGTTTGTCTCAGGCTTTCCAAACCAACTCGCCCTTTTGTTCTGTTTGTGAACCTGACACGCAGAGAGGACAGACCCACCTCTCCTAGGAGACTACATTTAAGGACAGTCGTTTGATTGATGTGAACACTTGAATGACAGTGTTGTTGAATGTTGTTGATGTGTGTGTGTGCGTGTGTGTGTTGCATCAGCTACGACAGGTCTCTCAGGCAAAGCGCTGGGACGATGTCGGGACGGGTAGGCGATCCGTCAGGCATTCGAGACTTGTTGAATCGCTGGATTTCCCCGATGAGGACTTTGGAGTGAACCTTGGAATAGTAAGTGTTACAATATGACGGGAAGTCTAAATATATTTATCGTCTTTCTGGCATGATGAAGATTTTAACACAGAAGCCACTACCATACAAAATTTGCCACTGTGTCCCGATACAACTTTTTAAAATCCCGATATGATACCCATATCGCAGCTATGAGTGTTGGCCGATACCGATATTGACCCGATACAATATCAGCACGAGTCATAGACGTTTAATACGTATTTCATAGCGTGAAATGTTAGAAAAGACTTGATCAAGTAGAACTACTGACCCATTTATTATGAACCAGTGGGTCTACTTTCAGGATACAAGTGCTGCTGGATTGAAATGCTGGGGGAGTGATTATACACTGCAAAAACACAACTTCTTACCAAGTAGTTTTTTTGTCTGTTTTTCAAGTCCAAATATCTTAAAACGGTTGAAATAAGACAAAACCAACTTACAAATAAATTTTTAGCAGGAAAATTTAAATATTTTCCTTGTTTTAAGTCAAACTAGACCTTAAAACAATATTTTAATATGGCTTAAGAAAAGTACTAGTTCTATTGGCAGATTATTTCACTTATAATAAGACATTTTTCCCATGTGATGTTCTTTATTTGGCTGATATCAGACCAATTTCTGGTATTGATCAATTGCATTTTTGTATGCAAAGCAAACACTTATTGCAATACGATTATATTCCTTTACATTTTTATTACATCTGAAAACTTAAGTTGGACTTTTTAGTGTGTTGGGCATTTGTATTCAGGTGTCTTCCTAGCATCTCCAGCTTTGACGCTGTTATCCCACAGCATGATGCTGTCACCACTATGTTTTAAGTGGATACTGTGTTATATTTCCACCACACCTCATGCTGTTCATGCAAGCCAGAAAGCTCAAGGGTAATGCACATTTTTGCAGTGCACTGTACTTATATCATGTCTTCATCTTCCCTGGTAAAGGATACCATGGCGATCAAAAAGCGGAGCTCCAGAACCAGAAGGATCCGTCCGGTCTCCACCAGAATGAGTGAGTCTTCTGCCTCTGTTCCATCTTGCTTTTGACGCAGCTGGGATCAAAGGAGAGTGAAGCAGAAGCAGAGGAATATTTGATTAATGTGCTGCAGGTCAAACGCGACAGGATAGAGAGATCTCTGTCCCAGTTAATTCCTGTCTCCCAGGTTTAGGTGATGAACCCAGTCCCTCTCCCACTCCCTCTGCTCCTTCCCACTCGGCGTCTCTCACTCACTCGGCCTCTTGGGAGTCCCTTTCCACTCTCCCCACCAATGGCTCACCTCTGCGTCACGTGACCCACGTCAGGCCACGCCCGCCGCGACGACACAGAGCTGCACACATTCCTCCTGAATCTGTGAGTAGACCCCTCTGATGTGACGTGCAAAAGAAATAGTCGCTCCCCTCCCGTTAAAGTTTAGTAGAATTTGTCATGTTACCTCCACAAACTGAATGTGTTGGGTTTTTTTTTTGTTTGTTTTTGTCTTCTGATATACAAACACAAAGTAGTGCATGATTAATAATCGGAGGGAAAATGGTTCATGGTTTCCAAAATTTAAGTCAATAAAAATTTCAAAAGTGTGTAGAATTCCAATGAGAGAGAGATCCGTTCTGTGACTCTCTGAGGTTTGAGAACATTAGCAAGCAAACAGCATCCCAAAGACAGAGAAACCTGGCAGACGGGTCAGGAATAAAGCTGTGAGGAATGGTTGGCTTATCGAAGAACTTGAACATCTCGCAGAGCTCGGTTCCGACCCGTCATCTCACATCAGCAGCCGAGGTGGGAGAATCAGCTGATACGGCAAGTATTAGTCGTGAACTCCATAAATTTGGCATTTGTGGAACAGTGGCGAGAAGAAAGCAAGGAACGCCTGTCCAGTTTCTATTTATTAGTATTCACCCTTCTTTGGATGCTTTACTCTTTTAATTGCGAAACAATTAATTTACAAAAAGAAATCTTTCAGTGTCCAAGTGAAAACAGATTTCTACAAGATAATGATATCTAAATGAAAATATGAAACATAAACATGTGATTACATAAATAATCACCTGTTTGTTTAATTAGGAGTGACTGACCTAATTAAACAGAGGTCCTTTCAACTGCAGCCAGTAGTGGAGATCAAATGAGACTGTGTCTATATAAAGTCAGCTGGTTGTGGAAGGTGCATTCAGTGGTTAATCAGACACTCCAAGCAAATAAGTATAAGTCAGGGGATGGGTACAAATAAAAAAAACCTAAGAACATTGTCTGGATTTCAGAGGCTTGTAAAAGTAGGAGGTAAAATGAGTAAAAGCAATCTGTTTCGATCTGCAACAGAACCATGACTTCAGCAACAGAGCAAACCTGAAACGTCCAACTAAATGGTTTGAAGAGAAGAAGGTGGATGCTCAGAAGTGGCCTAGCCAAAGCCCAGTGCACAACTGATCCCCACTCAGCTTGATAGAGCTTGAGCAGTTTTGCAAGGAAGAATGGAGTAAAATTGATGTCCAGATGTGCAAATCTATCCACACAGACTCCATGCTGCGGCCACAGACGCATCTACTAAATAGTGACCTGAAGAGGGTGAATAGTAACACAATTACTTATTTTATGGAAAGAATTTCATTTAATTGTCATCATTTTTTTAGAAATCAGCTTTTTGTTTGTTAAAAAAGCCCAATTTTGTTGATTGATTTGCAAAAGCAACAAAAAGGCTATGACATCCAAAGGGGTGAATACTTTCTCATTGGCACTGTAACAATTTATCTCAGCAGTTTCCTACAAGCCACATAGAGAAGACACAGCAAACATGTTGCTGTGGTTAAATTAGACCAAAATTAGACCAAATTAGTCTACATTCAAAACGCTGTTTTGATGCGACATCGCCACAGTAAAACATGGTGGTGGCAGCGTCATGCTGATCAAAGCATGTTTATGTTTTTTGGGGATATTTTAGTAGAAAAAAGATGTTGACGTTTTCTAGAGGTTTGACAGACAGATCCCTTTGTTTGTTTTTGAGCTCACATCAACAGCGATTCAACCATAATCCCAACACGTGCCACTTTGAGAGATTCTTTATTTTTTTTCCTTCTCTCCTTTTCTACGTGTGAACTTTTGGTATTCATTTTGTGTTTGTTGCCAGAGGCACCTTCCAAAAATAAGTTCCTTTCAAAGTAGGAAGCTGCCACATGTGTCTCTGTGACTCAAATGTTAATAGCGAACCGCCGTCTCCCCGGGAGACCGCAGGGCATCAACAAACAGCAGTTTGTTTGTTTAGTCTCTTTCAAAGCTCATTTCTAAATCGGTGCAAATTTATTTGGGGCGGCATGTTAAAGGAGGTGTTTTACAGACGGACTTCTGCTGGCGTTGGATTCAGATCCGCCAGCCAGCCTTTTGAAAAGATCGCACCTTTTTGTTATCCTTTCCGCTTCTTGTGGACTTGGCAGATTGATCATTTGTTGTTCTCCTTCTTGTTATTTGTGTGTGTGTGTGTGTGTGTGTGTGTGTGTGTGTGTGTGTTTATGTGTGCACAGCATTGCTCTGAGAACGGAGGAGTCAGTATGCTGGAGGACGGACTTCCAGATTTCTACAGCAAGAGAGTTCTGCCTGACAGGTGGGGTCACACTTCGGATTTATTTCCTTTGACCTGTTGCTCTATGACCTCTGACCTGCTAAAGAAGCCATTCAAGGGTTTCTCTTGAATGACTTCTCAGTTTGGTTACCTGGGCACTAAACAAACTGAGAAATGTAATTTTCGAAGCAGCTAGGATCACTGGCTGACTCATTTTTATGCTAGACTAACGCAAAGTTATTTTTCTTTTAAATTAGCTACTGTCCTTCTAGCTGCTTTAGGGTTTCTAACAGACTAAGTTGATAAAGTTAAAAGTATTTTTGCAGACTCACTGTAAAAAAAAAAGAAAATACTTTTTTTCTCACTGATTCACATTGAGTCACACTTCACTTTTTTTTAAACTCAATTCATTTCAGTTTATTTATGTCACCCAGTCAATTCAATTCAATCACACATTCAGTCCGACTGATCCTAGTTATCCAAACAGTTCAGTACGCTCAATTAATTATTCGCCAAACAGCCTTGGACTGCCTCTGTATGCGCTCCTTCATCACATGGACACAAAATCAATCAATTTGCAATAGAAAGAAGAATCATTTACGGCTCTTTGTACGTGTAGCTTTTTACAAACTTCTTGCATTTCCCCCTCCACATCTAGAGGAACACGGAGACTGGGGTTTTCACTTTTTATCCTGTAGATTGCAAACATTTAGATTTGAAATCAAAGCATATGAGACGCTTTTTTTCCCCAGGTTTTTACATCTAGACAAATAAAAAAAAAAAGGCATCATGTGTAACTGTTCAAGGGCAAAAGTACTGCAATATGTCTCTGAGATGTATTGCTGAAATTACACTCTGTCAGGTCATGACGCTGAAGACGTCTTTCATAATAACAGGTGTAACTAACATTAAGAAGCAGGCAGCTGCCTGTGGATGAAAGTCGAGCAATCGTGAAGATGGAAAATCAATCAGACCTTTTTATACAAACACTGGAAAAAAAAAAAAAAAAGAAGCAGAAGAACCGTTTTGGAATATCTGTCAAACTGTTGGAGCGAGGAGCAAATTTAGCAGCTGACAGCAGAGACATTGAGAGCTTTTATTAAGAAATCCCTCTAAAACAACCATTGGTGATACGATTGCCAACCTGCAGAGGGCAGGAGTGAGTCACAAGAACGTTCCATGGGCCAAATTATAGAGGGTTCACCAGAGGATGCAAAACAGTACTAGCTAGAGCTAATAGCTAATAGTAATAGCTAATAATAGTCAATAATTTGTCCAAAAAGCTAAGAGAAAAACATCTAACAAAAATTTGAGAAAAAGAAATAAAAATGCAACAAAACCAGCAGATATTTCATTGTGGTGCAAGATAATGACCCAACACACCCACTGCCAAAACAACACACTTACTCTCCACGCTTAGACCCACAGGGTTTTCATTTTAGCTCCTGAAGAGAAATGAACAGAAATAAGCATCGACTGAAAGAGAACAGAACAAGAAGAATGCAAATGCTTCTTTTCTTTTTTCTTTTTTTTTTTTGGGATGTCGGCGGGTCAGAGATTTGAAGCAGTTCTTGGAAGCAAAGAGTTTATTATAGAACAGAAACAATTAATGGCGATTAATTGATGTTTGAAATAATCTTCAACTGATTTAGTAATAGATTAATCATTAACTTGAATATACTGCAGATGCAATCTTTGCTACAAATGATCACAGAGTGCTGTATCTCTGTGTGCAGTAGTTAAATGAAAAATCTGCAGAGTGACAATTTTTTAAATCTGATTAATCAATTAATCATTAGAATAATTGTAATCTCTTATTCACTTTCATCCATTTGTCTGTTCCGATATGTTGGCCCAACTTTATCTTCTGAGCTTTAGGTAACAGATCTACGTGTAAATTCATAGAAATACAGACTAAAATGTTGATGTCTCTTATTGTAAAAACCCAAATCTTTATGAATGTAACTATCATTTTCTATTTAACATTATTATTTTCTGTTCTGAAACTCCACAGCGGGAAATGTGCCACTAATTTTTACGTAGTAAAAATGTGACCTTGCCTCCATTTGTGGCAAAGTGACGCCATACCAGAGACGCCGAGTTGTGGCACGCTGGATCAAAGAGCCGCGCGGCCGCGGTTCAAACCATTAAGTCTGTGAATCCAGCCTTGGCCGCAAAACTCGTTGTTGATTCGCTGCAAGCATGAATTTCCAGCCAATCGATCAAACTAGTGATGACTACATCTACGTGAAGGTCATTGCTTTAGGGGAGAATCCGCAGATTGTTATTCAGTTTTACAGCCTCTGCAGAGAATCTCATAAGGATGGTCTTTTATGTCTTAAAAGAAAACATTATTACTTTACCCAAGTCAAAATGATAAAAAAAGACGAGAGTTTTCAGATTTCTTTAGCTGGACACTCAAATACATGTTGCATGAGGAGAACGAGCTAACTCATTAGCTGTGCGTGTGCGTGTGTGTGTAGCAGATTTATTAGCATGTCTTAAGATAGAAATCCAAACTTTTGTGTTGATTTTTCTCAGTAAAAGAAAAAATAAATAAACACTGAGATTTTTTTTTCTTTGCTTTTTTTTTTTTTACAAACCACAGCTGTTGGTCACCCTGCTGCTTACATGTCACACTTAAAACTGATGCTTACCCCGCCGCTCCCATTTAAGTTTTGGTTGTTGTTGTTTTGTTTGTTTTTTTCTTTCTCTTGTCAAAATTAGAAAACGGAGAAAGCATGTAAAAATGTGAACGTAATCAGTATAATTATATAATTGTATTGTAATGTGCTTTCTCAATAAAAATGTTAATATAAAAAAACTGATGCTTAGACATTTTCTAATATTGTCGAAGGTTAAAATGTACAGAGGGTCATCTTTAAAGTATGGATGGTCTTTTCTCTTCACCTCACCCCACAGTTTGAGTTTTGCTCTGTTTCTTTTGTTTGTGGACTGATTGCCATGGAAGAAGTCAATTTTGGATTTGGTGAAAAAGTTTGGTTTTGATTATAGGTTTTGGATTATTATTCATCTATTACACAATAACCATCCTATTTCAGTTTTTTTTTTTAAAGCAGAATTTGCTAGAATTTTGCTTAAAATCTCCTGGAATAGAAAAAGACCAAGCGCGTCGTTTATCTTTGTTCTTTAAACGGGGCATGATGTTCTTTCCCACAGTTTCACATCTTCTGTTTTACATCAGACCTTACATGGAGTATTTTCCATCATCAGAACAAAATCAATGTCGGTATCGCCACCATATTCCTAAATGGTCCTGGTCCTTTAACAATCTGCTCGATAGTTGGTGAATAAATCACAAAACCAAACATTTCTAAGCCTTTCATGAAATGACTGAGAAGGAAATCAGTGTCACAGTGAGTCCCCATGTCTTCACCTGTCCTCGTCCTTTGCACTCGCCTTCCTGCGTGTTTTAGATGTTTTTCTGCTCCATCGCAGACGATTTAAATGATTAAATTAGTCCCTCAGCAGGTCATCAGGATCGCTGGCGGCTGTTTAATGGCCCGTCACTTTAAATCAGACACACTGGAGCAACGGCGGATCTGAAACACGCCAGACTGAGAACTTCCAGAAAAATGGCGGGCGCCTTAATCGCGGCTTGTAGACGGGAAGCTGCTC